GATGCTCCAACCAACTGACCAGGGCTCTTTCTTTCTCTTTCTCTCCTTCCCTCCCTCCCTCCCTCCGTCCGTCCCTCCCTCCCTCCCTCCTTCCTTCCTTCCTTCCTTTCCTATTTTTTTCCTTCCTTCCTTCCTTCCTTCCTTCCTTCCTTCCTTCCTTCCTTCCTTCCTTCTTTCCATTATTTATTTATTTATTTGCATTTTTATTGACTTCAGCGAGGAAGGGAGAGGGAGAAACATCAATGATAAGAGAGAATCATTGATTGGCTGCCTCCTGCATGCCCCCTACTGGGGATCAAGCCCACAATCTGGGCAGTGCCCTTGACCAGAATTAAACTGGGAACCCTTCAGTCCACAGGTCATCGCTCTATCCACTGAGCCAAACCAGCTAGGGCAGGCTCTTTTCTTAAAAAAAAAAAAAAGAGTATTGATTTCAGAAAGGGAGAGGGAGAGAAGACAGAAACATCAAGGATGAGAGAGAATCATTGATTGGCTGCCTCCTGCACGCCCCCTACTGGGGGTTGAGCCTGCAACCTGGGCATGTACCCTTACCAGGAATCGAACTGTGACCTCCTGGTTCATAGGTTGACATTCAACTACTGAGCCACACTGGCTGGGCTACTCTTTTATTCTTGAAGAGCCCGGTTAAAGGATTATCCATCTTGTTTATCTTTTCAAAGAATCAGCTCTTGGATGCTTTTTTAGACTATTTTTGGTTTATTTCCACTCTCATCTTTATTATTTCCTTCCTTCTACTCACTTTGGGGTCTGTATCTTGTTCTTTTCCTAGCTCCTTTAATTGCAAAGTTAGACTTTGAGATTTTTTTCTTGTTTCTTGAGGTAGGCCTGTACTGCAATAAATTTTCCTCTTAGGACTTTTACTTAATGTGTCCCATAGACTTTGGGTTGTTGTGTTTTCATTTTCATTTGTCTCAAGATATCTTTTGTTTGTTTCCTTGATCTTGATTTGATGCTTTATTTGATTTCAATCTTCTTAAGTTCATTGAGAACTGTTTTCTGGCTTAACATGTGATCTATCCTGGAAAATGTTTCAAAAGCACTTGAAAAGAATGTATATTCTACTGCTTTGAAGTGAAATGCTCTAAAAATATAAATTGAATCCAGCTGGTTTAATATGTCCTTTAAGGCTGCTTTCCTTGTTGATTGTCTTTCTGGAAGATCAATCTATAGATTGCTTTGGATGATGATGGAGTGTTAAAGTCCCCTACTATGACTGTAATTCTGTTGATCTCTTCCTTACAGAAGCTAAGGTCAATTTTTGCTTCATATATTAGGTGCTGCTATGTTGGTTGCATAAATGTTTACAAGTATTATATCCTCTTATTGGATAAATCCCTTTATCATTATAAGGTGTCCTTCTTTGTCTCTTATTACAGCCTTTGTTTTAAAGTCTATTTTATATGATAGAAGTATTGTTATGCCAGCTATTTTTTTTTCATTTGCTTAAAATATATTTTTCTGCCAGGCCAGTGTGGTTCAGTGGTTGAACATCGACAAATGAACCAGCAGGTCATGGTTCAATTCCCAGTCAGGGCACATCCCCGGGTTGTGGGGTCAATTCCAAGTGTGTAGTGTGCAGGAGGCAGCCGATCAATGATTCTTTTTCATCACTGATGTTTCTATCTCTCTCTCCCTTCTCCTTTCCTCTCTTTAATCAATAAAAATATATTTTAAAAAAAATCTTTTTCCACCCCTTTACTTTCAATTTGTGTATCTTTCAATTGGAAAAGGGTCTTGCAGACAGTGTATGTATGGATCTTTTTTAAAAAAAATATATTTTATTGAATTTTTACAGAGAGGAAAGGAGAGAGATAGAGAGTTAGAAACATCAATGAGAGAGAAACATCGACCAGCTGCCTCCTGCACACTCCCCACTGGGTATGTGCCCGCAACCAAAGTACATGCCCTTGACCGGAATCGAACATGGGACCCTTGAGTCCGCAAGCCAACGCTCTATCCACCGAGCCAAACCGGCTATGGCTGGATCTTATTTTATTATCCACTCAGATACCTTTTGTCTTTTTTTTTTTTTTTAATCCTCACCCAAGGATATTTTTCCATTAATTTTTTAGAAAGAGTGGAAGAGAGAGGGAAAGACAGAGAGAAACATTGATGTGAGAGAAACACATAGATTGGTTGCCTCCTGTACCCGCCCTGACCAGGACTTGGGCCAGAGAAGAGCCTGCAACCATGGTACGTGCCCTTGACTGGAATCAAACCTGGGACCTTTCAAGTCTGCATGCCAACGCTCTAGTCACTAAGCCAAACCAGCTAGGGCTACCTTATGTCTTTTTATTGGAGCACTTAATCCATTTACATTTAAAATGATTGTTGATAGTATGTACTTATTCCCATTTTTTTATTCACAATTGTTCTTTTTCCCCTGTACTGACTTTCTCCAAGAGTCTACTAGATGATGTCTTACATTTCACCTTCTCTATCTTGATCAAAGGTATTCCCTTCACCTACAATCTTCCCTGACAACAATCCTCCCAAGACTCTGGAGAGGGCAGGGGGCAGCTGCAACTTATACAAAGTCCTAGCCTACCCTTCTGCCCTGTTTCTATCTTTCCTCCCCTCAAGAATTTACTATATTGTGCTTGCTTCAGCAGCACATATACTAATACTGGAACGATACAGTGATTAGCATGGCCCCTGTGCAAGGATGATCTGCAAATTCATGAAGCATTCTATATTTAAAAAGAAAAGCTAACTTAAACAAACTCAAAGATGCAAGAAATGGAGAAAACAGAACACATGAGGAGATTATTGTTCCTTACCTGGCAGTCATAAAAAGGGTGGCCCCGCCAGCACATCACATCCAGAATGTAGTAGGTCTGCTTCGCCTCACTGTAAATGCAGTCCAGAATGGTATAGTCTGGGACACAATGCAGAAAGTCAATACAGGATGCCCTTCCAATCAGGGTTCCCTCCACCACAATCTAGGAAGCCCATCTTAGGGCTTGGGAACGGAATCCAATAATCCTTGGTACTTGCAGCAAGTACCAGCACTAAGGTATGAGAATTCAGTGGGGAAAGCATTCTTCATGATGCAGCTGAAGAATGGTGACCTGAGGTAGGACAACACAGGAGGGATCAAGGCAACTCTTAAGCCAAGTGGAAATTCTGAGCTTTTATATAAATTGGGACATTTACTTACAGAAGCTCAAGTTTGAAAGCAAGTAATCATCCATTTTAGTTTGTAATTACTTTTGAGTTCCTATCACGGGCATTGTGTTCTGTGGGGGACATTAACTGCATGTAGTCCCTGCCTTTAAGAAAGTTACAATCTGCCCTCGCCAACATGGCTTAGTGGTTAGAGCATGGGCCCGTGGACCGAAGAGTTGCAGGTTTGATCTACGGTTGGGGTGCGGGGGGCAATCAATCAATGTGTCTCTCCTACATGGATGTTTCACTCTCTCCCCCAACCTTCCATTCTCTCTTAAAAATAGAAGGAGAAAATACCCTTGGGTGAGGATTAACAACAACAACAACAAAAATCACAATCCAGTTAAGGAGATAAGATGATCACAGAGGAAAGAACCAAGAGCTGAACTATAGCACAAACTAACAATACAAATTCCAGAAAAAAAGGGATTGGGACAGCAGGAACTGCTTCATAGAAGACATGTGATATAAACACAGTCTTCTGGGTTAAGAATTAAAAAAACAGAACAGAGTGGTGGGAGGGCCTTCCAGGCCAAAGTACTGAATTGACATGAGAAAAGGCACAGAGGTAAAATAAATTGGTACATGAGGGGAGCAAGAAGGCAAACCAGTGGAACAGAGCTAAGGGTGGACATGGAGAGTAGGGGAAAGATA